GCTTCTAAAGAGTGAAAAAGCTGGAAATGAAAATTGAACCGGACAGAAAATGAAAGGAAAAATCTCCCTACCACTATTGTTGAAGAAAACATCAATGATCTCATTAATATTAGTATAATTTAATCTATTTTTAGTAAATTTTTTAAATTGATTTTTGAGTGATCTATAAAAGCAATTTACTAAAGGTTTGAAGCTTAATAAATTACTCTTATTTAAGAGATAAAGTTTTAGTTTTCCCCAAATGCTATAGATGTTTCGGAATATTTAAAATTGTTTATGAACTGTTTTGCGGATCACTCGTCATTTAGTAACAAATTTTATAAACTGCCAGACGGGTCACTCGTTGCGAAAGGAGTAAAAACTAAAATTTCAGATAAAAAATATATATGTATATATATATTGATGTTAGTAGAATTATACTTGCATTTGATGTCTTAATGGGAGGCATAAGCAATCAAATAAATGAAGAAAATATAAAAGTTATATGATAAATAAAATGCACGTTAGGGTATGCTGACTTGAGAAAAAAAAGAATTAATATTTCTAAGCAGTGTGGAGAGTTTCTACATTTAAATCATCATGATATAGATTTAAACGTGTTTAAATTTAATTTATTATTTACCTTCTACTTTACTGATTATAAGAAAATTGATTTAAGAGTTAAATTAATTAAGTGATCAGATTTTCAAAATTATTCTTTAGCTACCATAACTTGCTGTTGTTTGTTTCTCTTCATTTTAAAAACTGTCCGATAATGACTTAATAATGATAATGATTTTTGAATATTTTTTTTGAAATTAGATATTTTTTTTTTTTTTGTGAAGCAAATTGATTTTTTTTCAAATAATAATATTGTAGTTTTAAAAAAATATTTGCGAGTAAATTCTTAATTAACTTTTCATAATGTAATAAAAAGAAATAAGAAAGTTCATTTTGGACGAGAGCACGTATTGCACAGTGGGTAAAACGTTCAAAATGTTTAGCAAAATTTAGCAAAGAGTTTAGCAAAATTTAGCAAAGAGTTTAGCAAAATTTAGCAAAGAGTTTAGCAAAATTTAGCAAAGAGTTTAGCAAAATTTAGCAAAGAGTTTAGCAAAAAAGTCGAAAATTTTTAAATCATTTGCAATTAACATGCATATGTTAATGAATGTTTATTTTATAATGCACTTGATCAACTTTGTAAACTCTTTAGGATGCTTTACAGTCAAAAGTTGTTAAAAAAAGTGTGAAAAACGTGAAAAATATGTAAATATTGGCAAAATATTTGTGACATTGATTTATAACAATAAAAGATTTTTAAAAAGTTGCTTGAAATTTGATAACTGTTTTTTATGTATTTCTCAGTGCTAATTTTGAAAATGCAATCCATTTTTTTCTATCGCGTCAGGATTTCTCACAAAAAAAGGGATTATTTTTAGGTAAAATAACAAAATTTGACCAATTTTTCAGATTTTTCAAACGTTATAGAATTTTATTTTATGTATAAATCATCTTCTAAACTATATTTCAAAAACACTTACATTTCTCTTGTAGCTTATAAGTCCTTATAATAACGTTTTTGCTTTCTGTCAAAGCTTTTTTTATTGCTTTTCTGGCTGTGGACTCGTTCAGGATCATCTCACTTCAACATCCAGCAGTAGTCCGCTTGTGCCTTGCTCTTCGCTTACATCACCGAGGTTTGCACGGAAGTAATCAAGATGTGAATGGAAAAAATGAAATTAAATTATCATGTTACAGCCCAGCTTCATAAAATTGTCAAGCATGTCTGTGATAATGGTCTTGTAATTGGATCTTTGTTATTTTCTAGGAAACCGATAACAACTAATTTAAAGGATGTCCATGCTGCTTTTTCTTTTGCTTTTATTTTTTCCGCAAAATTAGGATCTCTCATAAGTTTTCTGATGTCTGGTCCGATAAAGATTTCTTTCTTTAACTTTGCCTCAGATAAACCAGGAAATTGCCCACAAAGATATTTGAAACTCTTCCCTTCTTTTGGCAATGCCTTAACAAATTGTTCCATCAGCCCCAACTTAATGTGAAGTGGTGGAAGTAACGCCTTTTTTGAATCTAAGAGGCTTTTTCTCTAAACATTTTTAACCCCTACTTCTAAGGCTTTTCTCAAGAGCCAAACTTTTTTTATGGAGTTCTGCTTTCTCTTATGACTGTCCCATTCACAGAGAAACCAAAAGGAAATTTTTATAGCCACATTGTTGACCAAAGAGCATTGAAATAACCTTTAAATTACCAAGAAAAGAATGTACCCGAAGTCCACATATTTTTATCTACCACTCCAGATCCTAAAACTTCTGCCGAGTCTTTAGGAAGACCTAGGTCTCTAACTAAATCGTTCATTTTAGATTGTGAGAATCGAATGCGATTGGTTGTGCCAGGATCGTAGTAATTACTTTCTTCTTTACTATCACCTTGCTGAACCAATGTCTCGTGATTATCTGAAATATCATTCAAAGAATCTGGATGATATTTCAAAGAATCTGGATAATATTTTAAAGAATATTGGTATTGGTACTTTAGGTCCATGAGGAATAGGGTAAAGGAATAGGGTAGGCTGATTGAATGTTAGGGTAAGAAATAACTTTTTTTGTTTTTTAAATTGAAACTTTGCAAAAACAAAAACAACAGTCATCACTATGATTTTTGGCCTCCCTCCAAACCATTGTAACCAAAAAGCAGTCCTTACGTATTCCATAACGTAAGGACTGCTTTTTACCTTAAAACTATTGCCTCAGTTTTTCAACACATATTGAAAAACTTTGTGTGGAGCCCAAGACTTATCTTGATTGCCTAACTTTATACCAAAATAGCCAAAATATACCTTTTCAAGAAAATCGGAGATGTTACTTTGTCGCTTTTTAATGGTATAGTTACCACAAATGTAGCAGAAGCAATTTGGTGAGTTTATACATCCTCTGGTAGCCATTGTCCATACAACAACTTGTATTTTAGGCTAAATAACAGATTGTGGAGATCTTAAAAACCAAAATTCAAACCTACTAGAGAACTCAACTATTTATAAAAAATATTGAAAAAGCTAAAACTAGATTAGCAGTTTGTGAAATAACGTTTTTAATTTAATTTAGTTTAAAAACATTATTTTTTGCTGATGGTTACAATAGTTTTAACAAGAATAAAACTAATTAAAATTAACACATTTAACTATTATAGACAATACACACTCACTTGAAAACGTTAAAAAAAATGTCCACACGTCAATTTACGATTAAATTTTTAAAAAGTATTTAAAAACAAAAAGCAAACTACAATTTGCAAAATTATAATATAAATTATAAATAATATTCAAATATTCAAATTACAATCATTTCATTAAAGAAAAATGAGTAAATGTTGTATTATAATGACAGGATAAATAAAAATAATAATTAAAAACGACAGATTTTACAAAAACAATTTTTTGCATACCAATTTTTGATATGTTTTTTGAACACCTTAGAACTTTTGATATGTTTTTTGAACACCTTAGAACTTTTGATATGTTTTTGAACACCTTAGAACTTTTGATATGTTTTTTGAACACCTTAGAACTTTTGATATGTTTTTGAACACCTTAGAACTTTTAATATGTTTTTTGAACACCTTAGAACTTTTGATATGTTTTTTGAACACCTTAGAACTTTTGATATGTTTTTGAACACCTTAGAACTTTTGATATGTTTTTTGAACACCTTAGAACTTTTGATATGTTTTTTGAACACCTTAGAACTTTTGATATGTTTTTTGAACACCTTAGAACTTTTGACATGTTTTTTGAACACCTTAGAACTTTTGATATGTTTTTTGAACACCTTAGAACTTTTGATATGTTTTTGAACACCTTAGAACTTTTGATATGTTTTTTGAACACCTTAGAACTTTTGATATGTTTTTTGAACACCTTAGAACTTTTGATATGTTTTTTGAACACCTTAGAACTTTTGATATGTTTTTTGAACACCTTAGAACTTTTGATATGTTTTTTGAACACCTTAGAACTTTTGACATGTTTTTTGAACACCTTAGAACTTTTGACATGTTTTTTGAACACCTTAGAACTTTTGATATGTTTTTTGAACACCTTAGAACTTTTGATATGTTTTTTGAACACCTTAGAACTTTTGATATGTTTTTTGAACACCTTAGAACTTTTGATATGTTTTTTGAACACCTCAGAACTTTTAGAGGACATGGTCTTGATATCTAGAGTGTTCCATAACAAGATGGCTCTAAATATAGTACAACATGTATCCTTATATTTGGAGCCATTTGAAGGTAGAATTATTTTTTTGCTACAACGAATTTTAAAAGGAAGGTTTTTTATGTTGAATAAATCCTTCATAAACTCTGGTTTTAGTTAATTAGTTAATTAAAAAACTATTATCATAAGAAAGCGCAAATTTCTTAAGTGGATCCTCGGACTATTATCAAAACTTAACAACTCATCAAGAGATAAGTCAAACTTTTTATGGACAATACAAAGAGCTTTTTTATGAGTTCTATTTATTAGGTTGTCATAGTATTTAGAACAAAGCATCCAAATTAGGGGACAATAAGAAAAATTTGACATTATGAGGGCGTTAAACAACAAGGTAGCTTTATTGCGAAATAAAAAATTTCTTATGCGTGAAAAAGCAAAATGTTTACCATAAGCTTTACTGCATAAGTATTTAATGTGTTCTCTAAAATTTAGATTCTTATCAATTAGTTTCTCACCAACTAGTTTCACCCTGTCAGAGGCAAAAACTCTTTTATTACCTATTTTTAGGTATTAATTTTTTGTGTTTTTCAAATCAACTAAAAGTAATTGGAATTTATCAGGGTTGGCAACCACTGAGTTCATCTTAAACCAGGCAATGGTATTAGTTGCTTCTTTTTGTAATTGAAAAATAACCTTTTCTAAGCTGTAATTAAAGGCATACAGCGTATTACCATCTGCAAAGTTGTACAATTATAAAGGTATTAAAGAGGGTGTGGCCAAGGATGGAACCTTAAGACACTCCCGATAGAATATTATCACAATTAGAAACAGAAGGTCCTATCCTTACCTTTTGTTTACGACCACTAATATACGATATAAGAAATTTAAGACTTTCATTAGAGAAACCATACGCCTCTAATTTAGAAATAACTATGTCATGCGGAATGAAATCATACGCTTTAGATAGATCCATTAATAATGTCCCAACAATACTTCCATTGTTAATGCATTCATGCAATTCATTAAGTAAAAAAATAAGTGTATGCTGAGTACTATAACCTCTACGAAAACCACACAAAAGTTTGTCAAATTTTGGCTCCATAAATAACAAAATCTGTTCATAAACGATCATTTCAAAAACTTTGGCGAGAACGGATAGAATACTTATAAGGCGATGGTTAGCCTTATTTGTTGGGTCATTTTTCTTAAGACACGGTGAAACATCAGCCATTTTTAGAAATGAAAGAATGTTCCATTTAAAATGTTTTTATTGATACAATCTTTAAGAATATCCCTAAAGTGTATTAAGTAAGATTTTAACATAAAAGTTGGTATTTCACCTCTTGTTTTTTATTTTTTCGTTCATAGATCCTATAATTTTTGTAATATCATCAGGTGTAATACAATGGAACTTGAAAATATGTGTATTCATTTTGATTTTTTTTTAATGTTTGTTATACTAGGATGGTCAACATACTTTTTAATAGCTGACTCAACTGGGTCTGAACTGTAGGAAGAAAAAGACCATTTAATATGGTCGGCCATACTTGATGGCAATGTAACATTTATGAAATAGTTATTAAAATATTAGTCAACAAAGAACTGTCTAATATAATAAATTTTTTAATACTCTAGACTTTAAAAGAATTTAATCAAATTCTTTTAAAGTCTAGAGTATTAAAAGAAATGCATAGAGATATCAAGTGCCATTCTTAGTATGATATGTATAAAAATGAGTGGATGTCCCACCTACTAGAAATTATAGCAGAGAAATTATAACTGAGTGTCTAATCTTGGAGATATTATGCTCTTCTAAAAAGAATTAAATAAATTTTTTTAATGTCTCATTATTTTTCAGAACGAGGGAGATCTAGCGTGAAATTTTCTTGTGGATCGTACTGGACCAAGAAAAGAAAATTGGAAAATATATGCAGCCAAAAGTCCACTGATGAGCTGCTATCTGCTTCTATGATACATTTCAAGATGGGTGGAATACATGTAGAGGACTAATCAGCTGAGGTAGGACTTCAAGATATATCAAACCATACGACAAAGAGGATAGTAGAAACTGCCAATACTTGTTCTCTGAATTCCAAACTTTTACTAACCAGCAAAGTTGGATTTTATGGCAGTACAGGTCATTCTGTTTACAAACAGAAAACTAAAGATTGTACTCCTGAAGATTGTTCTGTTGAGTAAAGTTTATTCCTGACTTGTTTGGTACCACTGAAACTGTCTGTAGTTGCTACATCTGAAATTTTATGGGTTAGTGAAAAGTCTTCATCAACTTTGTACTGCAGAACTAAAAGTTTTAGATATGTTAACGAGGAGAAAGATATTCTTGTTCAGGAGCTAAATAATATTAAAGGACAGAAGCTTCAGCTTACTCTTGTTAAAAATAATTTTATTGAACATTAACTAGAAATGACCATGTTAGATGGGAAATTAGCGACAGCCCTCAGTGATGTAACTGATTATACTCTGTGTTGTTCTATATGTGGGACAACATCAAGTGAAACAAATAATCTAGATACTATTTATGAGAAAAGTAACGCACTTAGTTAATCTAGCTTTTCTTATAGAATATCTACTCTTCATGCATGGATCAGTTGTATGGAGTGCCTTCTCCACATCTCATATAGAACAGGTTTCGAGAAATGGAAAATTAGATGAAAATAAATTGAAGATGAAGGAGAAGAAAATATTGGTTCAACGAGGATTAAAGGAAATGATTGGTTTGGTAGATGTTTCTAGATCTGGTGGATCTGGAACATCTAACTATGGTAAAACGGCAAGACGTTTTTTCACGGTATTGTTTTTTAAAGAAAATGTAACCTTCCTATATAATTGTTATACTTTAGGCTAAACGATATATTATCAATAAAATATTTATAAATAAAAATATTATTAAGATTATTCTGTTTCTGCTGAAGTATTCGTTACCGAAAAGGAACTAGCTAAGCGTTTGTACATTATACTATGTACTGTCTCCTGCATGGAAGGGGTAAATCCTGAGGTTCTGGAGATCTATTGCAAGGAGAAAATCCAACGTTTTGTTCATCTATACACCTGGTATTATATACCGCAGGGTTTACACAAACTGTTAGTACACTCTCACTAGATAGTTCGCAACAAAAGTTTTCCTAAAGGCGGCTTTTCACGGAGCGAATTATTTTGGGCGAAGCGAACTTTTTCGCCACTAATTTTTCGCAGAATCAGAATTTTAATTTCCACGTAACTTTAGCGTAACTTTTAGCGCGCTTTTTGGAAAACATGGTGATTAAAAGAAGATTGTTGTTAGTTCAACAAAGAAAAAAAGAAAATTAATTATTTTAAAAATGTTGCAAATGAAACGAGAAAAAAAAAAAAAAGAAAAAACAATTTTGGGTAAGGAAAATTTATACCGAACGCCTTCAGAAAGGAGAGTTTCATTTATTAGTCCAGGATTTACGTTTACACTACCATGAATACTTTTTTAAGTATTTTCGTATGTCTCCTACGACTTACGAAGAGTTGCTTTTGTTAGTATTACCTATCATTGTAAAACAAAGAACTACTGTGAGAGACCCTGTGAGTCCGAGTGAAATTGCTTGCCATGTGCTGCTATCTGGACATCATTGAAAGAGAGAAATTTTCTCGCGTCCCATCAGAAAAACAAGAATGGAAAACAATTGCAAATGAATTTGAAAACATGTGGAATATTCCGCATGCTATAGGTCCAGTAGATGACAAGAATATTTTTATGCAAGCTCCTCATAATGGTGGATCAGAGTATTTTAACTATAAGAAAACGCATAGCATAGTTCTTCTAGCTATTTGTAATGCTAAATACGAGTTTACTATGGTAGACATTAGTGACTCGGGAAGACAAAGTGATGCAGAAACAAAGATGTAAAAAACTTTAGAGAATTCTTTACACTTAAAGTTTGTAGAAAGAAAAAAAACCTGAATTTAATGAGAAGACTTTAGTGTAGCTCAGATCCAGTGATCTTGCTTGCTGAAAAACAGTAAAGAAAGTGAAATTGCTTTTTTGCGAAGAAGTTAAAGTTTTACTTGTAGAAAAGTATATATGGAATGCTAATTAAATGTAATTTGGCTCTTAAAAACAATATAGTTCTGATGACACAATTTAAATTTTATGGAATAACATTTTAGACTTTGAAAGTTATGACTAAATAAGTTTTCAACCCTCCCTAAAGTGAGGGGGTTGTAAATTTTATATGGTCATAACTTTTTATATCAGAATAATTATTCCGTGAAATTTAAAAACTGCTAATTTATTTAAATTTAGTATAAAAATGCAATAATTAAATCATTGCCCTCACTTTTGGGGTGAGGGGTATAACTTTTTGGGATATTTTTGATCCCAGTCTTCAACCACCGGAATTTTTCGCAAAACTTTATCATTTGACATAACCATAGACATACTTAAGTTTGTAGTTTGCTCAATGTCTGAAAGTTTCAAATTTGCAAAGCCAAAAAATAAAAGTTGTTCCACTAAACAGCCCGTCGTACAGAGTGGTAAAAACCTAATTTTGATTTAAAAGCATAATGATCCACTCGTCTTCTGGATTGATCTTTGTGTCTACTCAATGCCAATACTCAAAAAAAACGTTAGTTAGCATTAGCAAAAGAGCGTTGATTTTTTCTCAATAAAATTGAATCCAGAAAACACGCTTTGTCCAATTGAAATATTTTGGCTTGTTATGAAATGTAAGCTGTGTAATAAGGGCGAAATTGAGACTTCAACCAACTTTATCAATTTTAGGGTGTTGCATCACAAAATTTTAGGAAAACTGTTGGCCAAAAGCTTGTCTTTACAAAACAGAAAAAAATATTGTAATTAGCTCGAAAAAAACATTTTCTAAAAGCTTTATTGTATTTAAAGAAAAATTTGCTTCAATTTGCAACAAAAACATTTTCTGTTTGCAACAAAAATAATTTAAATTAACTACAAAAAAAAAACAAGAAATGACTAAGTGGTTCTTGAAATATTTCAAAAGTCCCATGGGTAATTATTATTCCAGACAGTCTTTATAATATTTATAAAATTAATTTTTTTAAACTTTTATGTTAATAAATATTTGCAACTTCATTTAACAGCTAGAGCAGGAAAAAAAATTATCTGATTTTTTTTTTGCATTATGTATCATATATACACTAATATTGTAAATATTTTTAAATGCTTTTGTTGTTTTCATTTTACTTAAATTATTTGAAATTTATGTTAAAGTCCATAAACACTGCTACACTCAATGGTGTAAATTGGAAGTTCAAATGAAAACTGATCAGTCAGTTAAAGATTTTGCGAATTTACAAATCTTCAATAAAGCAGCAAAAGAAAAATTCTGGAACGAATCTTGGGTGTGATTCTGTTTCTTGGTGTATATGGATTGGCTTTTTGGGGTAAGCCTGACCTTATATTGTTGGAACTGATTTTGCATTTTAACCCAATTCTCAAAGAACATGTAATAAAAGTTAATCACAGGACAAAGGTAAACGGATTAATGCGCATTACCGGTCAAATCATTCTCAAATGAATTTATTGGCCTTGGTGCAGCTGAGGTTTGCGGGCAAAATATAAAAGAAAACAGGTCTGAAAAGTATTTTTTAATTATGGTTGATGTCACTTCTGATGTGAGTCATATTGAAGAAACTGCATTTGTTATTGTGTATGTACATGAATATTTTCAATTAAAGAGCGGTTTTTGATCTTTGCAAAAATTCTGGATATAATATTGCAGGATTAATCTTGGAAGCTTTAGAAAATTTAATTATTCGTTTTAAAGACTGCCTTGGCCAAGGATGACAATGGAGCCAACATTTTGGAATAATAAAAGGGTGTTCACGCAATCTTACAAAATAAGAACACATTGTTTAAATTGTTAAAACAAATAAAAACACCCTGTTGTTGTTATTCATTAAATTTGTGTGAACAGAATGCTGCCTCAAGCTGTACAGATGCTGAGACTTACTTTTGAACTGTTCAAACCGTATATAAAACTTTCTCTGCTGGGAGATATTGCAAAAGAAACGCTATAAATATTGCAAAAGAGACTCCATGGTGTATCTCTGCATGGACAATCTGGAACACGATAAACTGAGATTTGACATTATTCGCCCTTTCTCTAATCAAGTAAACTAAATCATTGAACCTTTGGATGAGGTTTAGAGCTTGAATTTTACGCGTAAAACAAAAAATGAGATTAGAGGTGCCCTTAAATATATGAT